ATTACTAATTCTTCCCTTAATCTCATTCTATATTAATGTTGGAGGGTTGCTAAGTGACGATTAGTTAACGTTCCGACATTAATTACTACTAGAAACGATCAACGAACCGATGGTTAATCGTTGGTGGTTTCACAAGTAAGTAACTTCGGTTTATTAATGCACGGTCGTGGTTAATAGACTTAAGAGGGATCAATTTTGTTGGTTAAACCGAAACCGTTGTGTTAAGGTTATCAATCTCAATTGATTTCATCAAGGAGTTAAAAAGATTGAATGCTACTATTATATCGGTATAAGGCGTTGTTCTATATTTGATTAATAGTAAGGGTTATTAATGAACGGTCGTTGTTAATAACTACCCTCGATGAATTGGAGATACTCCTCGATTGAGTATTCGAGAGGGGATAAGTTATAGATATAACAAGGATCGACTAAAATATATCAACAAGTGGAAAGTAGCAAAGCCAAGTCCTTTTTATCTTTGAATTAAACACATATAGGTTGTTCATCTTAGTTCTTAATTAAAATTAAATCACTCAATCCAAATCCCCCCTTTTAGTTACTAAATATCATAAAAAGAGAATTATTCCTTTCCCTGTGGATACGAACTCTACTACACTATACTACGTATAAGTGTTTAGTATTGAATTTATTTTGACGCACCGTGACAAAGTGCTCGTCAGTAATGTTCAAAATATTAATATGAAATATGAGTAGGGATTAATTAATATTCAAGGAAGAATATTATTAAAGAAGATGAATCCTACTATAATTAATATCAAGATGTTAACTAATTGTCATCTTAGCAACACTCCCCAATATTAATATAGAGAAAGAAAATATCATTCTAACTAATGTCGAGATGTTAACTAATTGTCATCTTAGCAACACTCCTCAACATCAATATAGAGATGGTATTAAGGAAAGAACTATTAATTAATATTCAAGGAAAGAAGTTAAGAAAATAACTCACAACTTTAATAATAATCAACAAGCTTCAAGAGCAACACCAAGAATGGAAGTTTAGCTCCTCATTTGGAGACTAAACATAGCTAGAAAAATATAAAGAAATGCTATTCTAAACTGAGTTAAAGAGTATGGAAGAAGGGATGATTTTTTGTGAAAAAAAAGTGTGCTATTTATAGGTGTTTTTCAACACCTTTGGCCGGGTACCCGACCGGGTCAAGTACTCACCCGACCGGGTCCATGTCAAAATCAAATATCCTCCACGTTCTGGCGATCTTCGGCATGTTAAAGTGTCCGGGTCAAGTCAGACCCGACCGGGTGGGGTAGGGGGCCCGACCGGGTGAGTGCAAAAATTGGGCCCGGGCCATGCACTTTCTTTGCATTTTCGTTTTTCACTTCTTACCCGACCGGGTCAAGTGTTATACCCGGTCGGGTATTTGCTCATGGGCAGCCAAATCTTCTTTTTCTTCACTTCAAAGTCTTCCTTTCCAACACCACAAATCCTAACTAAACTTTACAACTAACAAATAAAGACTAAAATACAATTACAACTGAAATCACATAAATGTTTACAAACTAAATAAAACGTCAAACAATCACCATCAATGAAACATAAAAACATAAAATTATGCACTACTAATTAGTGTGCATCAGTACACACACTCGGTCACAAAATAATAAGAGACCATCATCTCTTTCCCCGAAATCCTCAACCGGTCCCGCTAGCATGCGTTCACGGACCTTCATGAGTTCTTTGTCAGCTTCTTGACATTTCTTGATTTCATCAAGTAAGGTAGGTCTCATCTCAAATGTTGCCAATAAGGCACCATCACTATATACCTTCAATTGGGCTCTCAATGCCCTCAAACTAGTCAGCAATGCCCGAGATGAACTTTTTCGACTCAAGGCATCTGCTACCACACTTGCTTCACTGGGGTGGTACTGAATAACTAGATGGTAGTCTTTTATCAACTCCATCCATCGTTTTTGTCTCATGTTTAACTCTTTCTGAGTAAACACGTACTTCACGCTCTTATGGTCAGTGTATATATGACATGTCTCCCCGTAGAGATAATGTCTCCAAATCTTTAGTGCAAATACCACTGCCCCCATTTCTAAATCATGGGTAGGATAATTTACCTCATGCTTCTTCAACTATCGTGAAGCATAGCCCATCACCCTCCCATTCTGCATCAACACACATCCAAGCCCTTGGATGCTTGCATTACTGTAGACATCGTACCCCATACCCTGTTTGGGTAATGCAAGTATCGGTGTCTCGGTCAATCTCTTCTTCAATTCTAGGAATCCCTTCTCACATCGGTCATCCCATACAACTTAGCCCCTTTTCGAGTGAACTTGTCAATGGTGATGCCAAAACTGAGAACTTCTCCACGAATTTTCTATAATACCCTGACAATCCAAGGAAACTACGAATTTCCTTCACGTTCTTTGGCTTCTCCATTCGGTAATGGCCTCAATTCCCGATCCCGAAACTACATGCCCAAGAAAGCCAATCTCCTTTAGCCAAAATTCACACTTGGAAAATTTAGCATAGAGCCGCTTCTCCCGTAGTGTCTCAAGAACAAGTACTAGGTGCTCTTCATGCTCTTCTTCACTCTTTAGTAAATCAAGATGTCATCAATTATTGAAAAGTATTTTAAATATTTTTTCATGAATCAACAGAATCAATCAATACAGACACTTCAGCCACAACTTTGTAAATTTCAGCAGAATCAACCAATTCATCAATTTCAATGTTACCAAACGAGCTCTATGTTTATTGTGACTCTTGAGATTATTGGAACTTATATTTCCCTTTTACACGAAAAATACTAAATACTCCATATAATTACTACTCCCTCCGTCCCTAAAAGGATTGCCAAGTTTGACCGGCACGTAAAATAATAAAGTAAAAACTGTGTGATAGAGATTTGTGCAGAGGAGAGAGAAATGATATGAGCCACAAATTGATTGATTAAAAGGGAAAGTGTCAAAGTTTTTGGGACAACCAAAAAAAGAAAGTTGGCAAAGTTATAAGGGACGGAGGGTGTATGAGAAAAGTAAAAATGAATACGCATGTATGCTTCAAGAACTACTATACTATGTCACTTTCTAAAGCGTGCTATAATTTTTTGGATGAGAGTGTGATTTCTAACATAATCGACCTTAATAAATAACTTATAGTTCATACCAGTAATTTTGAATAATTTTATAATTATTTTGCTGTCCCGTGCAACGCACAGGTAAAAGACCAGTAAACGGGAAAAGAGATTTTTTATAGGTACATGGCATGCATGAGCAGTCCTCAACCGGTGTGGGATATACAAATATACGGAAGAACAAAAACGGAGGTGAAAACCTCCCAGACTTGGACACATTTTGACCGGTATATAAAATTGTCCAATCAACTATCATTAACGATTAAACTTGCTAAAATTCGCATGTATTTTCTCAAAATATTCACTAGTAAAAAATCTCCCAAAATCATATACAACAACTTATATAAAAAGATTGTTTATAAAAATGTGAACTTTTTAATGTATCAACTATAGTCATAATAAGTTATGTTTGAATTTTATGTTATTTTCTAAAATACTTTAAAGTGATATTTTTTAAAGAACATGCATCTTACTATCATAATTATTACGGAGTATTACATTACTTTTCAAAATTATATGAATTTTTACAAGATTTATCAATATTCCTAATCATTTTTATAAAAATAACCTGCTATATGCGTATATATATGAGTATGTTTATCGGTTATCTATTATTATCTCTCTTAGTGAATTTTAAAACTTTTTTATTTAATACTCCGTATTTGTTTGGAAATTCAAAATATGTTGTCTTTTGCATCATATTATCGGATATCACATTTACATACTTACTAATATACAGCTTTAGAAAAATTAAAATAATGAGTAAAAATTGCAAACGTCTTTTTATGCCTAGACCTCGCTTAAACACGTCTAGGCTTGTAAAGCTTAAGGCTTGGTCGAGCCGCCTAGACGCGCCTCACGCCTTTTAGAACACTGATTGAATGTTGAATTGGTTGATTATTTATTTAAACAAAATGCTAATTATGCAAGTATATACTACTTTCTTCCCGAAAAGGTTCGTCATATTGAGTTTTCTTGGTCAATGTTGACAAAATTTGAACAATGATTTTAATTGTTATATTTGTATACAATTTATAAATTTTATACTTTTATGAAAATATTTTGAATAAGGAACATTTTGTTATACTTTTCATATTCTAAATAATTTCATATAACAATAAGAAAAGTTTATTGTTATTAAATATCGCAACGGGAGAAGTATATAATCATAACTTTGAATTTATCATTCTAATTATCATAGATATCTACTTTAATATGGTACGGAGTATGTATATGATGCATTTATTGATTTCCCGGCCCTTGTAATTTTTAGATTTATGTAAGTGTATTTTAAATCAATATAATCAATAAAAACCATTACAACAAAAAGCAAACTACGTACTACGAGGCCGGGCATAATTAAGGAGCATATTTTAGGCAAAAATATCTTCAACCATTCTTGTTGTACACAACCTTGTACACACCATGTTTGTGAAGCTTGTTTTTTGTCTGTGAATCCGGTTCACAGACAATATTTTGTTTGTGCAAAACATTGTCTGTGAATCGATGTTCACAGACAAAAAAAAAGCTTTCACAGATAACGATGTGTACAAAAGTGTGTACAAAAGTGTGTACAAACATCATTTTTCAAATATCATTTCACCTCTGTAACGGAAGCGAAAATACAGAAGTATCCCTGAACCCGAGAATGCAAGCGGCCCTTTTATGATCCACAATCAAGGTGAAACTGGTCCATTTGAGAGAAGTAGTGGTTGCACGTATACTTGGCCACCACGCATATTCCTTTCCATTTTTTTTTGCAATTAAGAACATACCACAATCTAGAAACACTTGGCGAGCACGTCAAGGGCATTTACTGGTCGAATCATATCGTATCTCTAACTATAAAAGCCCATATCAGCAGCCTGCAAAATTAGGAGCAACATTGAAAGTTTGGGAAACCAGAGAACGGAAGAATGAAGCAAATCTTCGTGAAAACTTTGACGGAGAAGACAATAGCTCTCGATGTCGAGAATAGCTACACCATTGACAATGTCAAGGCTGAGATCCAAAACAGGGAAGGTATATATCCATGTTGTGCTCTGACAAACTTTCCTCTTAAATAATTATTACTTCATGCTAGCCTTTCTGAATTTTTGTGGTGGATTTCTTAAATATTTTATCGTTTTCAGTTAATTATGTTTAAGTCGTGAATGCTTGTTGTTTATATACAGGGATTCCACGTGAGCAGCAGCGGTTGATGTTTGCCGGCAAGCAACTTGAAGATGGAAGAACTGTGGCTGACTACAACATCCAGAAAGGTTTTATACATATAGTCCGTATTTGTATAAAATGTTATCTGCAAAATAATTATAGTAATACCGTAATACTCCATATATAGCTGTTATCATTAATTCATTATCATAATAATAGTACTCCGTAATAATAATAATAATAATACTAGTAGTAGTAATAATAATAATAATAATAATAATAATAATAATAATAATAATAATAATAATAATAATAACGTTTTGAATCCAAAATAACTAGTTCGTTCATTTCGTACATATAGTAGTACGTATATGAATGTGTGCGTTGTGGATTTGTGCAGAATCAACGCTTCATCTGGTGGTGAGACTTGTGGGAGGGGGACGTGGAACAATCAAGCTTGCTCCGGGAATAAGGGCTTTGGCTCAAAAATACAATGAGCACAAGCTAATCTGCCGCAAGTGTTATTCCCGTCTTCCTCTGAAAGCCACAAACTGCAGGAAGAAGAAATGTGGTCACAGCAATGAGTTGAGGCCCAAGAAGCCATTTGACTCTAAGCTAAGCCAGTAGACGAACTGAAGAACCAATATTATTATGCGTTTCGTGCTGATCACTAATTTACCTAATCGTTAAGTCTTAAATTATGCATGCAAATCGCAAACTTCTGTATTGGAGATTTCAATGTGGAGTACTTTATTTGAAATCATGGACGCTCTTTGTTCGCAATGCAGTTTCGTTTGCCTTTTATTCGAGTGTAATATTCTCCATTAACGTGGTTCGGTATTGTTTAATTGTTTACTCCATTAAATTCATTTGGTCGCAGCTAGTGTTCGGTTAGGAGCTAATCAGCCATTTTTAAGCTGATTTGATTATAATTTACATTTTGACCAAATGAATTAGCTAATAAAAGTGTATATGAGAATCACTCAAGCTCCGTCTTCTTCATAATCTGTTGATTTCTCGTACATGGACTTCTTCCCGGAGTCCATCGTCTTTGTTGACATCCTAGGCATCAGAAATGGGTGGCATCTCAATCACAGAATGAAGGCATCGGTTGAATCCATTCTCTTCGAACATGGGTGGCGTATTTTGCGTTTCAAACTCCATCGTCTACTATGGTTTGATCGAGAAGAGAGAGAAGATGACCGGGAATAGGTGACAAGAGAGATGTGTCCGACAAAATTATGGGATAAAGTTAAATATCATTTCATTTGTTTTTATTACTCCGTACTAAATAATTTATTAAGAAAAGTGACAGGGTTTTTTCTGATCGAATAAAAAATGAATGTTGATCAAGTTTTAAAGAAAGATGGAATATAACATAAGATGGTGTCTTGTGAGTACAAAAATTTTACGATTTTAAAGAAAGGTGATAAATTTTTAAAGAACTTTTGCCAAATCGTATAATTTTAGGATTTAAAATCGTAGTCTAGTATTAAAAGTTTCCAAGAGCCGTTCATAACCCTGCTAAAATGTCAGCTTAGATCATTGATTATGTTGACCCAAATTGCTTAGGCCATTAGATTACTAGCTCGGTCAGGGCAAGACAGATTTATACATAGTACTACCTCCGTAACCCTAGAATCTTTCCAGTTCGACCCTTTTGGATCAAACTTTATAAATATTGACCATTAATTATTCAAAACTCACATTATTTTAAGATTAAATTAAAATTTATTTCATATACCTCATTGTAAAACATATTATTTGAATGTTAATTTATTATGAATTTTATAAATACAGATATGTAAATATTTAGAGTGGAAGTTCAACTTAGAATATCGTGAAAAGTCAAAATGGGAAGATCTTTAGGTTAGGGAGACAAACCGGCAATACAAAAGACAAATCTACTCATGCTTAGTTTGTAAGTTTGTAAAATTTTGAGTGTTTCAATAAAATTTCCTTGCTTTACCAATATCAACCCCTCAATACTAAGAATCGTTTTCTTCAAAATAAACATTTTCAAGTACTGCTTATGCATTCTTAAATTCATTAGTTTATAGTCAAATTTGCTAAAAACATCACACACACAGAGCTTGGTTCAAATAAAAAGTACTTCCTAGGTGAAAAATAACAACTAATCTTGGCCATTGATGTGAAGAAATGGATGGAAAAGATCAATTTTTAAGTTGGAAACGCGGTGACATTGTTGTAATTATGTCGAACTTTTATTGAAAATATTGGGACAAATGTGTATCAGAATAGTCTAAAAGTGCAGACGTAGAGCACAAAAGTGCAATACACTACAAAATAAAAAGTGCACAAGTTGGAAAACTTTGACAATCTTTTTTGACATGCATGAGTGCACTTTTAATCAGTAACTATTCACTTTATAGTATAAACATTTGCACATTTTTTAAAATCGTCTCTTGTGTTTAAAGTTCATCTAATCCATCCATTTTCAAGTGATCAAAGGCCAAGATGGGAAAACTACTTTTTATTTGAACTTAACCCTATATATATATATATATATATATATATATATATATATATATATATATATATATATATATATATATATGGAAGAGATCAAATAAAAAGAGGTTCTCCCGTGCAAAGTGCGAACAATTGCACTTTTTCTTCACCGCGTTACACTTTTGCGTGTTTCTGTTGCACTTTTTCGTGATGGCAAAAAACTTCATTTTAATTACGAAATTGCCACCGCGTTTTTGATCAAATTTAGTTCACTTGTGGCTCATTTTGAGCCATTAGATCACAAAATGAACGCACGAGATTAATTCTCACTTTGTATGGGAAGACATCTTTGTATTTGAACTCTCCCCTATACATACATACATACATATATATATATATATATATATATATATATATATATATATATATATATGTTGAATGACTTTTCTTCTTTTGATACATAACATTATTTTGTTATTGATTATTTTGTGCATTTTACTTGAGATTTTATCATTAGACTTAAATTAATAATGATTTAATTTATTAATGTTATGCTGTGAATTTCGTTTATCTAATACTCCCTCCGTCCCTGAAAGATTTTCCACTTTCGTTTTTCGTCCGTCCCAATAACACTTCCTCTTTCCTTTTTTGCTAAAGAATATGTGGTTCACAACATTTCTTATATATTTCTCTCACCTCTGTGCAACTCTCCACCACGCAATACCCATTTTCTTAATATGTGTGTCATTTTTACTATGGAAGAACAATTAGAGACGGAGTGAGTATTTTTTAAAAAATAATTTTTCGGTAAAATCTTACGATAGCCGCCGCCATCACAGCTGGCTCCACCGGCGTCGCCGCTTCTGCCACTGCCTCCACCGGCAGCGGCGTCGCCGCCTCGTCCAGTAACATCACCGCCTCCTCCACCGGCGTCATCCAGTGCTGCAGCCGTACGCCGCCACATTCGACTTTGTCGCCACCGCCTCCACCGATGTCACCTCCACTGAGCCAGCCACTACAGATCTATGTGCTAACCTCATATCTGGTATGACTATCATAGAAGTGCCATCTTGCAGTTATAATGTCATCTCAATAACATTATTGTCAACGTGACACAAATAAGATGACATTATCAGACTAAAAAACATGGCACTAATGTATTTTGAAAGAAGTAATATTGTCATCTTTGTAACATTAGTGCCACTAAAATGACACTAAACTACGAAAAATAATTTCACTTAAAAATATGGTCATCTCTCCTTTCCCTCCGTTCTTGTTGTTGTGTAGGTGGGTTCGTCCTAAACCTCTTTTCTCCCCGACCTCTCTCCTCATCTCCGTACCTCTTCATTTTTTGGTTTCTCTCTCTTTGTAACTGCTGAACACGATAGTGAACTGCAGCTCTATCATAGGCATCCGTCAGAGTTTGGCAACCCAAAACAGCGACGGTTTTTTGTGTATCAAAGTTTAATCCACGAATAAACTTCTCGACTTTGGTGCTCTCATCAGGCACTATTGTCTTTGCAAATGGCGCGAGGTCCAGGAATTTAGTGTGATATTCCTGGACACTCATGTCCAGTTGTTTCAAATGTATGAATTCCTCATGCATGGTGGCATGGACGTGAGCAGGATAAAAACGTTTCCTCATGGCAATCTTGAAAGCTTCCCAATTGAAATTGGGTTGTTGACGTAGAGCTGGGCCTGATGAGACCCACCAGTTATCCCCCTCCTTTTGTAAGTAATAAACAACAATGTCAACTTTTTGCTCTTCCGGACAGTTCACCGCGTCAAAGAGTTTGTCAAAGAGTCGGATCCAATCCTCGAGGATACGAGGATCTTCTTGCCCATGAAAGCTCGGTGGGTTGCGAGATGCTACTCGTTTAGCAGCATCATTTCCATTGTTCTGATTTTGGTGATTCTGGAGTACAATAGCACCCAATGTGTGCATGAACTGCGCCAGTTGTTGGACGCTTTGTGCCAGCTCAGCATTGATGGGTGTATTATCAGGGTCTCTTCTCGGTGCCATGATATCTTAATAACACAATATATTCGTGTAACAATTTCCCTATTTTGCTCTTAAGGATCCTATTTCAACTAAGGATTCCATAGGGTATACAACATGATAATATGAAAATCGTACCATACTATTATACACATGATTCACAGTTCACATAAGACCACTTTTGCACATAATGTTTGTACATACCTTGGCCACTTTGGAATTTTGCCTTATGAGGCATTCCCTTCAACATTTAGGGTTCCCATTTCTCATATGGGCCCACAATTAGCACAATTATCACATACATGCAAGGAAAAGAATTACTCACAAGGTCCTCACCACGTTCCTAATAGGCCATTTCCTAGCTATATTATTTCCTCTAGTTTAAAAAATATTTGAAAATTTCCCATTTGGAGGTACAATTTTGACGTGCACTCGTCGTTAGGTGCACTCAAAATAATTAATCAATACAACACTAATACGTAGTATAGTGTAGTAAGGTTCGTATCCACAGGGAAAGGAATACTTTTCTTTTATATAAATAATAACAAAGGGGGGTTTAGATTTGTTTGTTTTAACAACACTAAGATAAACAACCTATATGAGTTTAATTCAATGAGATGGGGACTTGGTTTTGCTTTTATCCACTTAATGAAATGTTCGTCGATCCCGGTTATATCTTTAACTATCTTCCTCTCGAATACTCAATCGAGGAGTATATCCAGTTCATCGAGGGTAGTTATTAATAACGAGATGCGTTCATTAATAAAACTTACTATCGAGTCAATATAGAACAAGCGCCGTATATTAACTTGATAGTAGCAATAAACTTAAGATGAAAACGATTGAGATTGATAACCTCAACACAAGCGGTTTATTGGTTTAATCAATATAATTAATTCCCCTTGGCATATTAACCATGAGATGCATGCATTAATATTCCAAGTTTACTACCGTTGAAGGGACCGGATTAATAACAAGCGTATTAACCGATTGATTCTAGTAATAATTAATATGAGAAACAATACTAGTTGATACTTTAAGTAATGTTTAAGATATTAACATGAAATATGAATAGGAATTAATTAATACTCAAGGAAGAATATTAAAATATATGAATCCTACTATGATTAATATCAAGATGTTAACTAATTGTCATCTTAGTAACACTTCCCAATATTATCATAGAGGAAGAAATGGCTATTACTATAACCAATGTCAAGATGTTAACTAATTGTCATCTTAGTAACACTCCCCAACTTTGATATAGAGATAGTATTTTGAAAGAAAGAATTAATATTCAAGGAAGAAGATTAAAGAAAATAACTCACAACTTACAAATTCATTAAGCTTCAAAGTAACAAAACCAAGATGGAAGAGTTTAGCTCCTCATTTGGAGACTAAACATGATGAAAAATATAAAGAAAGA